AAAGTTTCGTCGGAACGAAGTTACGGAAAATTAATTAACAAACGGAGACGTAACAATAGGTTAAACAATCGCCAAGTTGTTTTTATTTTAAGAAGATGGCGTTTTGAGCTAGCGCTCTTCGTAAGATCGTACAGCTTACAATCATGATTAATAAGTAGCCTATACAATCACCTAAGTGTAATTATTTATTAGCTACTAATCTGCTGCTGTCTTGAGAAATACTGTTTCTGTAGTGGTAGTGGTCGCGATTCGATCATAGGTATTCATAGAGAGGTTGGTGTTTTGTCCACTTGTATGGCATAATCGATCGTCACAACTTTATCATAAGTATTCACAGTTAACTCCAAGTCATGTTCATTATTTATCACTGAGTTTCTAAATCAAGTACAGCAGCTGTTGTAGATCAGTTCTGACCAATTAATTCCGGAAAAGGCCAAACTTGCTGAAATCATACCAGAATGGACCTTATATTGAATTCATGTTTTTTTTTGGGGGGGGGTTAAAAATGGCAAGATGAGTAAGATAAAACCATTTTGGCAGAACTAATGTGAGCAAGATTTTACCACAAACTTAGCTGTGGTTATGAGTGTTTCGTCATATAATTTTTTCTGCTTGACTCAGAGATCCAATGTTAAGAAATCAGTAACAAAAAGACTTATGAGTTAAAACTTCGTAGGGTGGTCTTTGTTTCCATCTGGATTGCACTGGTAGAAAAATTGGTATAAAGTATACCGAGTTACAGCAGTTTTGTTTTGTTATTAACACAAACATTTTGTTTATCAAAAAAACTGTAGAATGGCTTATAATTTCATATTGATATCATTTTCATTACTAAGTGGTACGTTTTCTATAGCATAAAATAATAATTTAATTGAGCCTAATATACGAAATAACCATGAAGTTTTAGTAATATAGAAATAGTATAGAAAATATTAGTACATAGAACGCCTTAAAGGAGACTGGTGATTTGAAATATCTCTCTCTCACCTGGAGGTCAAAAGGTGCATGTCACAACATTTCAGAGAGTTATTTTCCAAATTTAATTAAAGAGCTTTATTATCATTGTATGTCAGTAAAACCTGCATCACAACGTAGTTCATGATTCAAACTTTAATATTATATATATTCTAATTCCTTAATTGGAAAGAAAACATTTAAAAATTTCCAAAAATCCTCTTTTGTGTGTCATATGGCATACATTCTTGTTTTACCTCTCAGTTTATATTTTATTATGCCTGCCATACAGCGTCTATGGTGTTTAACGAATTAGAAATTCAGACATTTACAAACTAGGATACAAAATAAGAACCTCCCATCTTTTTGATCTGCTGAGATATTAATATATTTTGCAAACCTACGAGGGTAGCCCAGCCCACTACAACATTCTTTTGAAACCTCTGGTATACTGACGCTTATTTCTCTTAAGTACCTGTTTATAGCCAACAGAAAGACCACATTCCAACCTACGAAAATCTGGCAGTCGCTTGTAATTGGTTTGAAGCCCCTCCCCCAGTGGCACAGTGGTGTGTCTGCGGACTTACAACGTTAGAATCCGGGTTTCGATACCCGTGGTGGGCAGAGCACAGATAGCCATATGTGTAGCTTTGTGCTCAATTACAAACAAACACGGACTGAAGGGAAACTTATATGACTGGAAATTTTGAAAAATTTTGAGTAAGTCGTTGCTCTGAACAGAAATTATATTTTTAACCCACAAACAGCTTACTTAGAAATCCAGGTAAATTACAGTGGTTTCGTGTGTAATCGTATAGTAATTTGATAATTTTTTAGTTTTCTAAAATGTGTCTTTGAAGTCTACAAAAATTAATTTGTTTTTTCCTTCCACTTGAGAAAATAAATCAACCTGATAAGTAATAACCCGAGCGAAGCCGGGTACTTTCGCTATTCTATAATAATAAAAGGCCGTGTCTGTGGGTCTCTATGTGTGTGACCGCCATAACTCCAAGAAGAAAGAACCTAGAAATCTGAAATTTTGCGCAAGTACAAAGTGAACTCTGAGGGTGTGCACCTGGGTATTATTACTTATACACGTGCGTGCGCATCTTTTTGTGAGTTAAGCAAGCAATAAAACCACATTGAAACCAATACGTGACTGCTATAGCTCCAAGAGGACAGAACCTGGAAACCTAATATTTTGCACCCCTACTAAGTGGATGCAGAGGGTAAACACCTGGGTATTATTACTTATCAACGTGCGTGCTTGCAAGCACATCTTTTTATGAGAAAAACCACATAAAAAAGAAATGTGACCGCCATAGCTCCAAGAGGAAAGAACCTAGAGACCTGAAATTTTTCAC